TTACGAGTTATCATAACAAGGGGTTGTTGCTATGCCTTTGATATTCCATCCATTTTGGCGGCAGTAGATGTCGTAGGGGTGACCACAGAATTCATGAAGTTATTCTAAGAACTGGCTGGTATGTAGTGCATGAAAGCAGAGCTTAGCTGGCTCAAAAAAAATATTTATGGTCATCCCTCGAAACGACCACCAAGGTCAGTACCATAAAATGGCGTCAACTGGAGCGATAATACATGAAGGAATGAGTTCTTTCCCACCCCACACACACCAGTATCGTCATAGGGGGTGACCATAGTGTTCTGCCTTAATTCCTGGCGTTTTTCTAAGAACTGGGTGCTATGTACTGTGCGAAATCAATCGATCTTGCAAGAATAAATTTTTGGACATCCCTCTTCTAAGAATTCCAATTGAGTGTGTTAGTGTGGCCAGCTCAGGGCAATATATTATAAACACAGCACATATCACGTCTCTGCTGTTTATAACTTCATAGGAAAGAAAACACTCCATTCATAACAGATTGAACGACTAAACCTCTCCCAAGAGCTACAGGAACTTTGCTGCAAGACAGGCATATGTAACAATGACTTAGCGCACCTAAACAAATGCCTCATTATATATAGTACTTGTGACAACAGGACAGCGAAAAATCTAACAATCTACAGCAAAACCATCAATTATTATGGGCGTTATAACATAGGTGTGCAGCTGGACGAAACATAGATGTCAAACCCCCCCAGACGATTTAAATACCTGACAAAACATACACGTCAAACCACGCTGAACGGTTAAAGAGATCAAACGGTGGGGAATTCCATGAGAATGTACGGTGTGTATGTGTGTAAATTATAATGCTTACTCATATTTTTTCAAATTGTTTATTGCGCATATCCCTCGGAATCCATGTAATTAGTTGTGTTTAGGGTGTCGTTACTGGTTGACATACTGCCTACTAGCGACCCCATTAACAGCCAGTAATCAGACAACAATATTACGGGAGGGCGTAGCATTTCCTAAGATAGATTTGCAAGACGGTGACGTCTTATACAGTGATGCGAAGGGCGTCCCATAAGTGTTGAGCGAATATCTCTGTGTCCAAAGTAGTACTATAAAGCAGAATATAAGCACAGTAACAATTACAAGAAGACCTCTTCTCCATTCTCTGAGTTTTGGACGTAGCACTGTTGTGACACAGACAGTGTTTAATTGTTCCTTCAGTGCTGCAGCATCGTTACACTGGCCTTGAAGAACATTTGTTTCAAGTTTGAGGGTGTCCCTGGCCTTCTCTAAAGCCTTTGTACCACTTGCTTGGCATTTGTTCCTTTCTTCTGTCATTTCTGCAATATCCTTACACTGGCCCTGAAGATGTTCCATTTGAAGCTGTAGGTTGTCCCTGACCTCCTTTAGATGCTGTTGCTCTGCTGTTACAGTTTTTAATTGCTCCTTGATTGCTGCAACGTTGTTACACTGGCCTTGAAGATATTCTGTTTCATGCTTGAGGGCGTCATTGTCCTTCTGCATGGCCTCCAAGACTGCTGCTTGGCGTTCAGATTCGAGTATAAGATCATCTCTCTCCTGTGTGAGTTGGTCGCGCTCCATTATTACATTGTCTAATTGCTCACTGAGTGCAGCAACTTCCTCACGCAGACTTTGAAGGTTTTCTACTTCAAGTTCTAGTGCATCCCTCTCCGTCTTCAAGACCTCTATGTCACCTACTGTGGATCTTACTGTGAAATGGTTGCTCTTGGCTCGACATTCCAACGAATTTATTTCTGTATTAATTACACCAGTTTTGTACTGATCATCATGCAGTGTTGTTTGAGAACCATATCTCAGGATCTATTGGAAGAAATTGACAAAAAAAAGTTAATTTATTTCTCTCAGTAATGGGCCACATAACAAAAATGTAACGTGCAAAAATCTGTATCTCAGTTTACATTATATTAATTAAGAGGAGGCATCTGTTTTGTTAAAACATCTTGAACAGTAATTTCTCTATGTAATTTTATTCTTCAGTTGTGCAACAGACCCAGAATTAACATATCATGGTGATTAATAAATGACTCATTGGAAAAGATTTCTAAATAAGTGATTGTGGCCCAATTGAGGCACTGGACCACTATTTGCCTGAAGGCAATGGCGGAAAGCATGATAAACCTCGGAATAACCAATTTGAACTGAATAACTCCCGCACACAAGTCTAGAGTTGCCGTTGCAATGGTATAGTCTGTAAAATTGCGTTAATAAGGGACCATATTCTCAATAATTTCAGAAGATCCCAGAGGACAGCTGCATTTATAGGGGAGAGTTGTCAATATCGCACCAGTGCCTACACCGTATTTTCTTAATTATGAGAAGTCATATGATCTGAACTGCCAACTGGTGGATCTGTTAGATACAAATTATTATTTCAGAGCTACACCAGTAATCTGATATGTACGGGACCAAGGTACTGCCAGATTACTGGGAAAAGTTGGAACAAATTTGTTAAGTTTGCACAACACAGAAGTTTCAGAATTGATTATCATTTATTTACATGCATAAATGTGTACTGTGAACTTTTGTGCATTCAATATTTAATGTGTTAATCAATTTTAATCATCATACCAGTAGCCAAAAAAACACTGGGCACAAGGCTTTCTCAGATGAAATAGTGAACAGAGTGTTAGAAAGCTTGAACCTACTACAGTCAGCAGGATCCTGGATTTTATCAAAATTAAAGTTACTCTATTTCATGACAACTTATTGGCTGTCTTTTGTGGGTGTACAAGTTTAAACTTAACTGTATCTTCAGTGTCGATGAAAGTGGATTTTCATGTGTGTAAAATCCTGCTTCAGTCAGTGAGCTATAAGGGTCAAAAACAGGTTGGGACTGGCACAAGCATCACTCAATCATGGAGGTTTCCTGCCAGTATCTATGCTTGCTCAGATCCACAGTGAATGAAAGAAGATTTGTTCATCATCTGACCAAAAGTTTCATTTCACATTTACAGCCCTGCATTCAGAATCCCACATGATGAACACAAAAGTGCAAATGCCAGATGACGAGGAATTTCTGTTACCATACAGCTAAAATTCGGCTGCACACCTATAACACCAGGGGATCTACTCTCAGATGACAGAAGTTCAGCAATCACCATGGTGTCACAGTATCAATGGAAAAGTGTTGATTATGGAGGGGGTATGGGGGACAACAAATCCAACAACTCGTTAAGGAACACCATGGTATGATAGAAAAAACTCAAGCACACAAAAATAAATAACTACATAAAGCATGGAGAACTTGATTAACTCAATGACTTTCAAGCTTTCTGACTAAGTGACCTACATTTCTCAAAGACTGGGATCAGCGACTGAATGAAGGAAACGTAATGCTCTACTGCAACAGCAAGAGCCAACTGAGGTGTGTGTTGTTGCAAACTGTTTTTAAAATCATCAATTTGCCTTCTACTAAATGACAGGTATAAACTAACTGAAACACCCACTGGGTACTGCTGCAGAAATGTGTAGGTTTTCGAGAGAGATAACTTCTGCAAACAATAACCAAAAATAGTCTTTAGCAGCTCTAAGATCTAAGCTTCATGCTTTGAAAGCTAAAAGACGTAACGTGACAGACACATGCCGTGACATAATGTAAAGAGTGGATGAAAGTATGACAGTTGTATGTACTGAACTAAGTTACCTCAGGAGAAATTTTAGAGGCAGGATTTTATGCTAAAACCATGAATATTCAAACTGAAATAAGTTGGTTTTCCAGCGATACAGACATGTCTCACCCTAATGCAGTTTGATAGAATCCTTGCACTTGGCCCCTGGGATTACGGTACCTCACTACAACTGCTTAGAACATTAAAATGCATCTCAAGAATACAGAGTTAGGTGACGTGAATCAGACTGGGCAGGCTAGAGGTTAGCTTTACTGCCAAGCCCACTGATCTGAGCATCTGATGATAATACAGAGAAGGGAATGTTCTCCTTCAGTACACAGAACACACCTTTATCATGCGAGCATCCCTTACCTTCTCTCTCTGGACTTCTAACTCACGCTCCAAGGCTTGTATGATTTCATCGTTCCGCTGATTATCTTTCTTTGCCTGCTCTCTCTGGGAATGCAGTTCGCTCTCATACTCAGTTATGCGCTCATCCTTCTCTATGAGTTCATTCCTTAATCTCTGTACTTCATTTCTTGCTGTGATAAGATGTGCACTGAAAGAAAAACAATTTTTAATTCTGCATGAGGAAGAAACTCATTTTAATATTACCCACCCACCTATGTCTTGGTCTTCCTAGTGGTCTCTTCCCTTCTGGCTTTTCCACAAAAATCCTAGGTGAATTCCTTATCTCCCTTATGTATGCTACATGCTCTGCTCATCCCATCCTCCTTGACTTACACCTGGCAAAGACTGCAAGTTATGAAGCTTCCCATTATGCAGTTTTCTCAAAACTTCTGTCACTTCATCCCTTTTTGGTCCAAATATTCTCCTCAGCACCATGTTCACAACATTTAAAATCTACATTCCTCCCTTAATTTTAGAGACTTAAGTTCATGATTTATTCTGACCGTCTTACAGTGCATACATTTATTCACCTTACTCTTCTCTCTTGTACTACATGTTTCAGCACTAAAGTGCCATCTTCAGGTGCTTTTCTATGTACATCAAACTATTTCATTGCATGCCCTGTTGTCTTTATACTGTAACGTGTTTTGCGTTACTGATCCCACTTCTGACACCAGTGTAACGTGTTTACGTTACCGAAGACGCCGTAGAGATGGT